ATATATATGGAAAAGTACATTCATATTTGTATTGAGTACATACAGACATAAAGCTTAAAAATAAATATGTTTTTTTTTCTCCGGAATTTCTTAAATGTACTATATTTACTATAGAAAAGGTGGCAACCCTACTAGTTAACCAGGTTTCACTGTATTACCATAAAATATCGAAACTCCGTTTGGAGAATGTATTCTGTGTATATATGACCTTGATATAAAAAGATCGAGTGACTATACAGTTATGCCCCATTTACATTCAGCCCTGTTGGACAGGGAAGTGAGCAGGGCAGGGAAGTGAGCAGGGCAGTAGGCAGGGCAGTATGTAAACAGGCTACTCGCGCTGACACTGCCGCTGCCGCTGCCACTGCCCTACGTTTGCTCAAATGTCGGTTTTTCGTGCGGAAGTCAAAGCACGGGCAGCGCGAGCAGCAGTGAGTGTTCACATTCAGCTCCATCGCTCACTTCGCGCCAAGCGCTTGTTATTAAATAAGTATGATCTACCTAAATGCCTTTCGAGTGGAATAATGAAAATACAATAAAGTTTTTAGAACTGCTGGAATCAGAAAGAACTATATGGGATTTCAACGATAAAAACTACAATTCATCATCTTCTACGAATACGAATTTTCTTTTTTGAGATAACATAGTACCTATGTACATAATTAATTATAAAATCGTCAAATTTATTATATTAATATAAAATTTAGTTTAAGGAATTAATGAACATTGACATTTTATTTCTAAAAACGATTAGTAACTCATATTGATTACTTATTTATTAAAATGTAAAATAAGTTAAATGGTAATATTTGCATAATAGCCTGAGATTTTTAAATTATAATTTTATTGTAATTAAAATTATGAATTAATTTATACTTTAGTGTAATTATTAAAATAATAATAGCTAAACTAATCTCATATAATATTTAATATTACTTATGTAACAATAATGTAATAATTCAATTAATAATTTATGAACAATTTACTGTATAAGAATTCAAATAGAGTGGATCTGTATAAGTATATTGTACATAATAAGCAATGCAATAATTTTAAAATGTAACATTGGGTTTGTGTAATTAGCTGTATTTCCAATGCCAATTATGGCAAAACATGTTAGTTCCACGTCATTGATCATCTTATGTACCATGTTTTTAAGCAAATAAATTTTCTATCTATCTATCTATCTTCTTTTGAACTTGATATCTTTTTAAATTATTAACATAATTTTGTATTGCAAGAAGACACAGCGCGGTCGCTGTAATTATTTCGACGTCTGCGATAGTCGAAAGCCGAGTGATTTTTTTTTGCGCCCGAAGCAAATATGGGCAACCCTACGGAAAGCGGGGGAGGGAGGCGGTGAATGCTCATAGCATACCACGCAGCCGGCTGCGTGGTTATGTGGAGACTTTTACCCACTAAACACCGCCTTTTAGGAATTGGCTTAACGATCTGACTAGAGATCTCTAAGCCGTATACGAACGCGACCCTCCTTGGCAGATAGGAGGGCGCAGCCGAAAGTGATGTGAGTGTGAGTGGTAGGGCAGAGTGTAATTTATACACACTTCCCGCGATCCTGCTACGGCAGTATTTAGCAGCAAGTATTGCCGGCAGCGCGAGGAGCAGTGGCAGAGGCTGAATCTAAATGAGGCTTTAGAATCTGCATAATAACTCCACAGCTTTAAGTAAATGCGCTATAGACTCTAGTATTTATGCGTCTCTCAAATTTTTGTTTTGAGTCTACGGAACTCCCCAATACAATTTAATGAAGATCGATTGAAAAAGACATTTGACAAATGAACTGAAATTTTGTTTGTCAATCATCTTTAGTCTTTACAACACTAACAATGAACTCGTTTGATCGAATCGAAGCGATTGCCTGTCTTTGTGCCTATAATTGGGTGAGCTTTCTCCGCTAAATATTATGCGAATCATGATCGAACATTTTAATTTTCAAATATTCCTAAGTCGTTCGGGATTAAAGGACTTAAGTTGGTAATATTACAATGGCTTATGAAAATGAGACGAATCCAGATAATACATAATACATGGATGCCCTAAGATTGTATTCTATTAGTACAAAATTACAAGTGCATTCTACAAAGTATAATGTAGTTCTTATAAACAAGTAATAAAGTTGTAAATGAAACAATAAAAGTGTGACCAAGCACAAAATAAGATAGCATTGCTTTAGAGAGGTAGAACAAGAAATGTAATGGTGTTGGACCATAGATGACGCAACCGGACGATGACCCCAAGCACCATTGGATTTTGGAAGCCATGGATTGAATATCAAATATACAAATCCGTGCATTAGAAATTTCGGAAGACTTCTTCCGTTTTTTTTTTTTTAACTGAGCAAAACATTATTGATGAGTATAATATGAAGTTATGAAGCAGTCCTTCACAAGTCCACACTGAACACAGCCCTGGCGCGCCCATTGCAACTTTAGCTTAGTGATACGCTGGAGTCTGTTGATTAATCTGGTTCTACTCCAAATATCTTTATTACGAATACTATCACGCTGAGAAACTCCGAGCAAAGCCCTCCTCGCTGAGCGGTGGCCTTAGGTTTCCTCATATTACGTTTGAATTTTCAACGCAATATTTTATTCGGTGAGAATTATTTTTAATAGATAAATATGTAACGTATTATTAAAATTAAAGGATTTGCTATGGCAAACACTGAACTCATTTGGGTTGAGCGCTGGCTTGATACAGGCATTGGAGTCTCTTTATAGGGACTCTAGTGCTTGTGTTAGGATCAACGGGGTCTACTCGGACTGGTTTGACATCCATAAAGGTGTCAGACTTGGCTGTGTGGCTTCCCCGTGGCTGTTCAACCTATTTATGAACAGTTGTTTGCAAAATTTGAAAGTTGAAGAATGCGGATTAAGAATGGGTGAGTTAACCGTCAAATGCCTTTTGTACGCCGATGATCAAGTTATTCTTGCGTCGTCGGCGGCCGAGTTGCAAATGATGGTTACATTAATGAACGGATCATTAAAAGAAAGGGGTATGAAAGTGAACGCAAGTAAGACGAAGGTTATGGTTTTTGAAAGAGAAGAAAGTAAAACGATTTGTGAAATAAGAATAGAAGGGGGAGTTGATCGAGCAAGTAGATGAGTTTGTATATTTGGGCTGCGTATTTAGCAGGGATGGGAGATATGGTAAGGATAGAACGACGAGTGAATGCGGGAAATAGAGTAAATGGGGCCTTGCACTCTATTGTGAAGAGTCAAAATGTGTCGAAAAAGGCACGTATGACAATTCACAATGCTTTGTTGGTCCCTACTTTAACGTATGGTAGTGAAAGTTGGGTGTGGCAGAAGAAGCACGAGAGTAGAATAAACGCAGTAGAAATGCGGTCGTTAAGGAGTATGTTAGGGCTGAATCTGAATGACAGGGTAAGAAATTGTGTAATAAGAGAAGAGTGTGGTTTGCAAGATGATGTTGTGACCAGGATTAAGAAAGGAGAGGATGCTTCGGTGGTTTGGTCATGTGGAAAGAATGAATGAGGAAAGAGTTACAAAGAAAATTTATGGTGCAGAAGTGAATGGCAGAGTCGGAAAGGGACGTCCTAGGCGAAAATTTATCGACCAAATTGGCGATTTATTGAAAACGGGCCAAATTAGGAGTACCCTTAACCGACGAGCATGTATGCGTAGTGTATGGATGTGAAGGAGGCAAGAGAGGTGTGTCAGGATCGTGCCAAATGGAAGTCTGTAGTCTTTGCCTACCCCTCTGGGTGACAGGCGTGAGTGTTTATGTATTTATGTATATGTAACGTTGCTTCGTAAATAAAATATTAAAACTATTGCAAACATAAAGCTTTTAAATCACTGGCTGAAAACCAGCCAGTGACTTTTCTACCTAAACTAGGTTTAGAAGAATATATTTCATAAACCAGCCAGACACGTTTCATTAGGAATCTCATAGGTACGTAAAAGGTACCTTACTTTTTAAAGATCAAATCGGCGAGGTTAACAAAGTTGACTTTCTGTAATTGTTATTGGTAATGGGTAAGAAAAGTATGAGAAATAGTGGAAATACTCAATGTTAATTCATATCTACGATTTCATCCATTTTTATAGTTTTCTGTTAGGGTAGGTATACGATTATAGAAAATGAACTTGACTAGCCCTACAAAGTTAGGGTCGGTCGGTTTCTTTACGCTTTGTGCTAGCCCCGGTTGCCATAGCCGCGCGTTTTTTTTATTATTTTAAGCTGTAATCAGGAAGATGTTGTCTGCTGTCCACCTGACCCATGAGATGATATGTAGTAGAAGGTAGTGGTTTATTTTATGCAACCACTACACGGCAACTATGTTAAGATATTTATTTAAAAGTACGGGGAGATATGGAAATAGCTGTATGATTTTGGTCCTATATTCTTATGGTATCTATATCGATAAATAAATTGAACAGAAAAAGGACAGTCTACTATAACTAGAAGCGGCAAGTCGGCGTTGTAAAACTGTAACTTTACAATATCTTTACTGATAAACTACGTAAGTATTAGGTATTATCATAATAGATATTTTTGTTATTATAATATAGTATTAGATATTATAATTTTTATACTAATGTAAATTTCTTGCTGTGAACATGAGGTTAAATAATTTATTCGGTCAAAGGAGGAATATTCCTGAATGGAGTAAAATATATTACTTGCGCTATGTTACTTATTATTTTCTAGGGGTTACACCCATTGATTTAGTTACACCATACATGTTAAATACACATAAAAGCGTCATCTAAACCAAAGAACAATATATTATTATTATTAAGCTTAAAGGTACATACTCAGTAGGCTTTGATAAAATTAGCACGTACGGCATATTTTTCGTAATATGGTTATACGTAGGATAAGTTACTTAAATGTAACAATTAAACATCTTGTAATTTCTACTTCCAATTCCAATTAAAAAAAACTTCGAATATCAGTTACTATTAATGGGCAAATTTAACCCAAGCATTTAGTGGACATTTTTATGCGCTTTACTGACCTGTCATCTGCAGCTGTCTTCTAGAAGCGGGCGTACGCGGAGTCCGCGGGGTGCGAGAGGCACGCGGAGTTCGCGGTGTGCGCGGAGTCCGGGGCGAGCTGCCCGCACTACCGCTGCTACGCCTCGACGGAGACCCCAAAACCCTCAAATCCGTATTCCCGACACAAGATAGCGCCTCAGTTGCTGTCCTAGAATTCTCTTTATCCCCCTCGGAAAATTTAACAGGTGAATCCAATTTTGATCCTTTATACGAACACTCAGTTTCAACGTCAAAGTTAAATCTTCTAATGAAACGCTTACGTTCCCTCGCGTATTGTTCCGCCATGAGACGCCGAGTTTCGTCTCTGTCCGGCGCTCCAAAGAGACACTTGCAACTTCCGCGCCTCCTTCTTGATGAATTCACGTCTCGCAGACCCATTCCTGATGACATCTCGAATCTTCTCTGCTTCGGTGTACGACCTCCTGCCGCCATGATATCCGTATAATGTGTCAGGTGAGCAACGACTGGTTCGCGAGAAACATCTGACTAATCTCCCGGGAGAAAACAGCTGTTGTGCAGGTACAGAGCGAAAGAGAAGCCTGCAAAGGGTATGCTATGTTAGAGCGGGGGCGGCGATAGCACCTGGCGGGCAAAACCGCGCCAATTCTAACCTATAAACTGTAAGCCGGTGTGGCGTACGCGCGCACCTACCGACTACGAGCGAGCGACTGAATGACGCTTCGATCGTTTCCCGCGCATCACCGCGTGCGCCAATTTCGGCACTCACTTGGCGCGCAAAAATCAACAATGAAGCCAAGGACGCGTTTTTTATTATGTCTCGGGATACAGGTGAAGTTAAGAAAGGGGACGCAGAAATTGTTATTGTTACCTTTCAATGATATAAATGGCGGCTGTACGGAACAAGTGACTTATTAATAGAACAGTGACGTTCCCTCAGTATCCGTCGTTGATACCATAAACGCCATTAAAGATAACAATGGAACGTAACAGCATACCTACAGTAAAGTATGACAGTAGTAATATTAAATTCAAAGTAGGTACCTATTATCATAGAATTATTAGTCTAATTACTCTATGCCTATTATTATGAGTTATTACAATTTGAAATATCAAACAGTAAGCCAAACTGATAACATGATTCTTTAATATTTAATTTAACTAATTTGTAATGTTAATAATGTGTTACCAAAAAGATAAATATGACCTTTTATATGGCGCGAAATATTGGATAAATCTGATAGTCAAATAAAATGATTTTGCCATAATAAGTAGGTATCGTAGTGTTTTTTACTAAGACAAGGCCTTATATGCTGACCCCGATGGTCGATAGCAAATTAACTCAGTTTTATTTCTCGATAGACAATTCCAATCAGATTTCAAGCAAAATAATTATGGTCAAGGGAGTTTGACCACAGAGTAAGGATCTATTACTCATGTGGTTAGACTGCGTTTTCACCTACGGAATTATAAAGGTGCATAACCAGAGATGTACAAGGGAGATGAGCGATACCTACTAGGGGACGTTTTTGTGCTTATGCAGCTGTGAAACAATGTCTTTAAACTTTACGAAAAAGCTGAGTATTTGGTGTGACCTGAGTGGAAACACTGACATATATTATGTACTACGCACGAAGTAGTACATAATATATGTCAAGTCAACTCAATGAGTGGAGGTTTATTGACTGGTGGTCTAGTAGATCCAAGTAGATTGCTTGGATCGCCGCCTCCTATGTACAGTCCTCGAACATCTCATTTGCTCGCGTCCTTCGCACACAACACAACATCTCTCAAATGTTTTTATATGCACGAAGACCTCACTCCGCTAAGCCCTTCTCTAGCAGAGCTAAAAGAGGCTAGGAATATGAAGTAATCTTATTGTTGGATTTATTCATCGCGAAACGTTTAGCTAACTCGCACAGCTCTTGTGAAAACTAAGCCTTACAATCGTATCACGCGTGACGTGAGAGAATAAAATTGGATGATTGGAAGTCGTTATCAATTTACGATACTATCGTATGATCGGTAGACAAAACTCTAGTGCTGGCGCTTAGTTTACGCAACCTGTAGATAGATACTAGGTAACGTTAAGTTAATGCTGTGGTCCGTAATGGGTATATACAATACACTTATATTTATCCTCAATTAAGAATCAAAGTGCGGTTGCGTTAACTCCTCAGGGTTAATATGGAATGCCTCGTTACTACCAAAAATACATATACATAATACATAAACACTCACGCCTGTCACCCAGAGGAGTAGGCAGAGACTACAGGCTTCCAATTAGCACGATCCTGACGTACCTCTTTCGCCTCTTCCACATCCATATACCTACGCATACATATGCTCGTCGGTTAAGGGTACTCTTAATTGAAGCATTCCTTTCTTAATCCTGGTCACCGCATCATCTTGCAAACCACACTCTTCTTTTATCACACAGTTTCTCAACCTATCACTCAGATTCAGCCCTAACATAATCCTTAGCGACCGCATTTCTACTGCATTTGTTCTACTCTCGTGCATCTTCTGCCACATCCAACTTTCACTACCATAAGTTAAAGTAGGGACTAATACAGCATTGTGAATTGCCATACGTGCCTTTTTTTGACACATTCTGACTTTTCACAATAGAGTGTAGAGCCCAATTTACTTTATTTCCTGCATTCACTCGTCGTTCAATATCCTTATCATATCTCCCATCCCTGCTGAATACACATCCCAAATATACGAACCCATCCACTTGCTCAATTAAATCTCCTTCTATTCTTATTTCACATACCGTTTCGCTTTCTTCTTTTTAAAAAACCATCACTTTCGTCTTACTCGCGTTCACTTTCATTCCCCTTTCCAAAAATACATTTCCGGTTATGACTATTATATATTATATTCTGTTCTATATATTACATCTAGGTATTCTAATTAAACGTGGCCCTTCTTTGATCTTCTCTTCTTTGATGGTGAAATTATTAAAATGGTTAATAAAGATTGGCTAATCCTAGCCGATATTACGAAGACTGAGTATACTGGAAGTTCCAAATGGCTATTTTAAGACTTCTTGGTACAAACACTTTATACAGTAGCACGACCGACGCACGACTAGTTGGTTTATTACCAAGACATTGTGGACTTTGTTTTTTAAATGTTTTCCGCGAGAACAGAACTTGCGAATCACGTTTTAGTTGATCCTCAAACATTAGATAGACGGTTTGTTTTAACGAGTCAAATAGAGTGAAATATAAATAATCTCTGTGTTATATAAAAGACGATGTTAGTATAATATATATGAAATCGCTTACGAGAATCACAATATCTATTTGATCGAACACCATGAAATACACACGGCAATTAACAGGTAAATTAAATTGCATGCCCTAAAATAAAAAAAAAACTTCATCAACGTTTTTTTACCACGTAAAAATTAAGCTTAATTCAGCACAACCTATGATATTAACTCGAAGGCTCCGTAGCTTAGCTATGAGTTACAGCGCTTAGGGGCGTGGGTTTGAATCCCACACGGAACAAGTATTTGTGTGACCTACAAATAATTGCTTCAGTTTTGGATGTTTGTACTTGTGCAATTTATTTAAAAAATGGCAGGACAACATCTTCAGATAGTAATAGTATAAAAACTGGAGGAAAGAACACAATCTATGATCAAATAACAAAATATGCAAGCTATTGTCTACTGAGATCATGACTACAGCACAAATGCAGCGTAAAACAGCTGCATAAATGTGTTGAGTATGTGGTGATGTTCAACTGGAGACACTTTCTGTTGGTAACGAGACTTTTTACCATAGGCCCGGTTTACATTTTGAAAAGTGACAAGTAGGTAAGAGTGACAAGTGCAACTGACAAATGACAAGTGCTTAGTGCGTATTTTATTCGCACTTATCACTTGTCACTGCCTGTCCACACGCACTAAGCACTTGACTTTTGTCAGTTGCACTTGCCACTCGCACTTGTCATTTCTCAAAATGTAAACCGGGCCTAAGTTCTCGATAGTGTAAATAGGTACCTCTGCATTTTGAATCGGTGACTATGAGCCATAGCTCCTGCCCGTTTGTCACCTTTACTCGTGTTAAAAAATACACTAACTTCTTCAAACATATGTTTTAATTATTAAAACTAAAAAAAAATGTTCTAATTACGTCTATGCCACATTTAATTTTTCTTGGTATCTGTTTTATACAATATTGCTTAGACTAAGTTAGTAGTGTGAGACGTCTGTAATAAGTGAGAAATTATTCTAATATGATATCGAATGTTGAACTATTTAAAATGCATTTGAACACTGCAATATTTTTATGACCAATTTTTCAATCCTTATATAAGTTTACCTACAGGATAAAATACAACCAAATTAAAAACCTACATTTGTGTGAACAGAATAGCTCAATTGTTTCAATTTGATATTCAGTCAGGTTATAATTTATTCGACGGATAACTTTCATACGTTATAGCCGTTAATATATTAAAAAGTTGACTTTGATTTTTTCATAAAGAAACAACGACCGTGCTTTGTGATATTCGTTGTGGGTGTTCTATTGGGTAATGGGTTATAATAACGATGGTAATGATGAATAGAAAAGGAACAAGTTAATTAATTTGTATTTATTTATACATTTGTTTGTTAGCTCATTTTGTTTATAAATATATATATAATTGATTTTAGTTTATTGTTTAAAATTTTTTTTAATTTTTTTCACATTTTTTGACATATATAATACAAAACAAACAATTAATACAGCAGGAAATAAGAAGAAATAATAAGAAACATAGATTTTGTGACATGATACCGGTCAATCTAAAAAGTTAAAAGGAATAGACTTAATAGACACTATCATTTGATCAATGAAAGTTAGAATTTGAAAAGCAAACTATTGCAGAATCATTCTTCATCTTATTGTAGATATTTAAGAGAAATTTCACGTTATGCATATCCAGCAATATACTAAAAATAAATAATTTTGAGCAGGTGTGAGAAGTGGGAATCAAAATCGATGCTAAGGATTTCAGACAATTAATAATTAATAAAATTACCTTTCTACAATCTTAGGTAGTATGAGACAAAAGCAAAGTACCCATTGCTTGGATCGTTACATTTAATTACAGTTTTAGTCTAGTAGTGCCAGAATTATTTCTTCAAATTCTTCAGTAACTTAGACAGCAGGACAGTGAAATAAAAGTCTTACCGGTCACACACCTCAGTCTACTTCACCTGAGGATGCCTCATGTAAAGGCGAAACACGTGTCGTATTATCGACGGTGTTGTCATTCCTAGTGTAGTGATTTTTTAGACGTGGTAGAGCCGTGCTGCAGCTATATTAGTTGTATAGTTGTAGCACGAATGGGTCGGCTCGACTGGGGTAGGACCACGCTCTGGTAGAATACCGGCGTAAAATAGCAGCTGAACGCTGATGTGTTTCGTATGGTGAGCGTAGAGATCCGGAGACTCATTTTACTAGAAACGA